ATTTCATAACTTTACATTATGCACTTATGGCATATTTATGGGCTTTAACTCTCTCGCACACATTTAAAATTTTAATATAAATACAATGTTGGAAATTCCGTAATTTTCTATAGCCCACAAGCACAATCAATCACAATACATTCGTCTCTCTCTTTTCCTCGTTGGATATTTAGAAAATTAAGAAATTTCCGACACTGTTAGTACCTATTTCATCACATTTTATGAAATTTTTACGGTGACAAATTAAAATAAACAGCACAGACTTTTACTTGTTTACGTGAGAAATATATATTATTTTAGTGGAAAATACTACAATTTTTACTTTTAAAATTTTACACCCTAATTGTTACGAGGAAACATTATTTTTTTAGAAACTATTACAGTTATTTTGTGTTCTGCAGTATTTTTACTAATGTTTTTACGACAACAAAATGGTTTAATTTAATATTTAATGGTTTAATTTAATATTTATAACGGGATATTGGAATAAATATTTATAAAAATTATTTTGCGTATTTTTCAAAAAATTAAACTTTTAAAAAGTATTTCAAGACTTTTAAAAAGAGAGTGTTGCCAAAACATTAATTTGAGTAGCTACAGCCCCAGGGGTTCCTTAGTGAAGGTCATTTTTGTGGTCATACTGATTCGTGCAACCTATTTTTAATTATGAAGGGTGCGGCAAAAATAAATAAGCGATTTCAATACGCCGCAAAGTTTGGGAAAGGCACGTACCTAATTTCAGTTGTGCTGAGACGAACAGAAACTTTATATGGAGCGCTACACGGTACAGGAACGAGTAGAAATGGTGCAGCGGTATTACCTAAATAATTCCTAATTAAAATGCAAATTAATCATCATTATTACAATTAATAGTTCACTCTAGCGGTTTTATGCTAACGGTGAAGTTGCGGTGAATAAATAGTCAATTCACAATCGATTTATTTTACCATTAATAGACTTTTTTGCGGTTAAAGTATAGTCAATTCAGGATGATTAATTAGTTTGCTTGTTTCATTTGGTCACTTAGAATACTTTTGTACCTATACAGATGGTATTTAAATAACACTGTAGGTAAATTTTTAACTTTTGAAATATCACAGCTAAAACCTTGGACACGTAAACATAATTTTTGGTCGCAGATTCCAAATCCGTGCTCGGTTTAGCTGTATCAGGTCTAAAACAGTTTTTCCTATTCGAAATCCGATCCGGGGACACACTCTATACTGGTATATTATAATTTGTAAAATAATATAATTTACCCCTTTTGCCAACAGTCTTATGCTTTTTATTTAATTTAATATAATATCCTCAATTATACTCAATAAAAAAAAATCAGCAAAAAAACATTTCAAATTTCCTAAATTATCTAAGAAAAACCCTTAGAGACACGTGTATCTTTTGATCAATTAACTTCAAATTTTGCAAGAATTTGTAATTTTTTTAATTTGGAACTGACAAATTAATTTTTTTTTAAATTTATACAGGGTGTTTAAATTTATACAGGGTGTTTCCATTATCTTTGAAATTTGACCTGATACAGCTAAACCAAGCACGGATTTGTAATCTACGACCAAAGTTTACGTCTCCGAGCGTTTAGCTGTGATATTTTCACCTCCCTACAGTGTAATGAATACATTTTAAATTTATTGCAAAAATGGCGAATGCGCCGGGTTTAAAATTATAAAAATATGATTATCATGGACCATGATGCAGTATAAATAGCCGAATGTTGCTGCTAACTGATCAAATTAACGCGAAACGCACGAACTACAAAACTGTTTTTATAAAAAAAATGTAGATAATTTAATATATAATATTTTGGCATTAAAAATATTCTTCTTTTATTAGGTTATACATTAAATAAAAAAACCCAAGAAATATTTTATAAAAGTAGAGATAATTTTAATTATTGTAAGGTGTGGACGGGGCAAAAAAAAGATTTATCTTGTCCCGTCCACACCTGTCAATTATTGAAAATATCTCTACTTTTATAAAATGTTTTTTGCGATTTTTTATTTAATTTATAGCCTAATAAAAAAAAGAATATATTTCGCTGGTTAAGTCCATTTTCAAAAAACACTATTTAACATTTCTATTTATTGCAACTAAATTGTTTTTTGCTTCATTCTTTTAAAAATTGGAAGGTTTTACATCCAAAGATTAATAAATCAATACATATTATGCAAAAAACAATTTAGTTACAATAAATAGAAATGTTTTACAGTGTTTTTCTCCAATTCTTTGAAAACGGACTTGTCTTGCACTAAACCAGCGATTTGACCCTAAAATCACCCTAGCAGGCGCCTGCATATTATAATACCAACAATGCATCTTAAGTAGGTATCCTAGCAATTTATAGAATTCGCAATGGCCATGTATTGGGTATTAATATTCAAAATGTATGATTTCTTAAAATTCTTGCATTAGTGCAGAACCACTTATGTTATGTTATTACTAGACCTGGTGGCTTCCCAAAAACCCCATTCTAACTAACAGTGAAACAACCATTTAAAAAATTGTAATAACGACTGCGTCGTCTTGGGAATCTTTACCTTATTATTGGATAGTCTCCTTAAATGTTAAGATAACTTATCACGTATCCTCAAATACAATTCAAACACAAACTAGAGGACAGAACAATTAATTTAATTTAAAGGGAGAGGCTTTGAATATTCGGAAATTGAATGGATGTCTTAATTACAAACCTCGCTGTGGGAACAATCCGAAGTTTAATTTATCTTTTTTAGATGAGGATTAGTTCAAGATTTTGTTATACCTACTTGTTTATTTTTTGCAGATGCACCTCCGATTCTTCTGTACAGTTTTATAGAGCAGACTTTACAGCCGGGACCAGCAGTGTCTTTAAAGTGTAGTGCGTCAGGGAATCCAACGCCTCAGATTTCGTGGGCCCTCGACGGGTTTTCATTGCCAAGTCACGGCAGGTAAGAGACATTTTCTACACACTGTTTTGATATATAAATTTAAATTTACTATAGTAAATTTAAAAGGAAACGACGTACACGTCATCGATGACGTCATAATTTTGCGAATATTTTAATGCATTTTAACCAAATTAAGTTGGCAGCAATTGCAATGTTGTCATGTTTGGATTAAAATTTTGCTTAATAAAATGACACATAAAAAAAAGAAATTGACGTTGTGTTTTTGAATATTTCGTTTAATTCGTGTATAATTTCGTTTATTTTGTTTGTTGTTTATGTTATTTTATATCGTTTAAATTTTTATTGCCGTTTTTGTGTTTGTTATATATCGTTTTTTGTTTTTCCTATATTTAAAATGTCGAAGCATTTAAATAGTCTGAGTCAAGAGTTCCTTAATCATCCTTAATACGCTGTTTTGAGGCAAAACGGGATAATAATGGACCTTTGTTACCTTTAACAGCTGTTAGAGAGGTATATAGGATTATTATTAATTATATATTAGAATATTATATACTATACTGCCGTGCTTAATGAAAACGCCGTAACCAACAATTTTGAGATTTTTGTTTTACAGCATTTTCTACTAGAACAATTCATCCTGCGTCTATCCCCGGTACTCAAAAAACGGTATATATATAGATACGGTTTTTTGAGTACCGGGGATAGACGCAGGATGAATTGTTCTAGTAGAAAATGCTGTAAAACAAAAATCTCAAAATTGTTGGTTACGGCGTTTTCATTAAGCACGGCAGTATATATAAATATAGTCCTTCGGAGGGGACTTTAAGCCCGCGGTCCGTTCCTACCCCTAACCCGCACAAGCCATTCAGTTGGCTTATGGGACTTCTTAAGAAGTAAGGGTGTATTTGTATATATTAAACAAAATATATATTGGATACATAAAATAATAATATATATACCAGAGACTGACTTTATATGGCAAAATTTCTGGGTTTTATAGCTGAAAATGTCTTTAAAAATTGCTAAAAACATACTTTTGTCGGTGCATCATATAGGTTATAAAACTCTGACATTTTGGTATTCTAAGGTTCCAAATTTAGGGACCCTATGGTATTATTCATGTAAACGTCATCTATCGCCCTGTAGTTGCACTACCACTTTTACTTGACGCAATAATTTTAGCATCACATTGACAACCGTGCCCGATATTGTTTTAGTGTTTTTTTGTTAGGTTGGTGGCTTATGCCAGTTTGACTTGACACTGTCAAATTGACAATAATATTTATTACCTACCTATTGATAATTTACTTGTCAATTATAAATAAAAAGATAATTATGCCAAAAATAATAGCAACGAATTCGAATGTAAAAGCCCTTTTGAGGGCAAAACTTCATTTTGATGAAATTATGCCAAATGCCACAATGGAAAAAAAAGTACATCGCTTTATGGACATTTTTGGAGTAAAAAAGTAACTAATTTGGTTTCTTACATTATTCACCGTTGGACAACATTTACGTTCACAAAAAATTTTTATTTCTTTTATATAAATTCTTTTCAAAGCGAAGATTATTATCCGCTAGGAATACTTTCTCTTCTGGGCCGTAAAGCAACCTATATTTAACTACTTTTTTTATATGATTTTACTCATCCAAGCACCACCAAAGCCAAATTAATTAAATTTTTAACTACGAATTTCGACAACTCAACTTGACAACTGCACAATGTAACCTACAATAATTTATACATAACCACAATTAGATTTATAACTAGCTTATTTTGTTTTAATCAATGCGACCAACTTGACAACTGTATTTACCAACCAAAACCCTAAATTTGTCCAGATAAAACAATAAACTTTACCTCGTTTCTTTTAAATTTACTATTTTAGTGTTTTTAGTTCAATAATTTTGGAACTTTCTTTTTATGACTTGATTAAACTGATTCAAGTAAATTTAGTTGACAAACTTTTTGTTCCTCAACAACCACTAATATTTCACAAAACATCGACTATATAAAACAGACCATTAAACTTTCTGAATATTACGGATAACAGCATGTTCAAAGGCGATAAAGCGTGAAACAGTTTGAAGTTGCAGCATATGGCGGCCAGGACCGGAGCTCTCGACTCCTCTGCTCTCCTAATGAAGATAAGTAAGATTCTATGCGACCAAGCCTCATGGGACAAGTTTAAAGGTCCAAGGCACTGTATAATGGTTAGGCGGCCTGATGTTCTCTACTGGACCTTAAGATAGATAAATAGATAGATTTAACCGTTTTTTTTTTGATTTTTTATAATCGTAAAAAATTATAAATTTTACTTGGCTTAAGATTTTGAAATGCAGTTGTCATAGAAAACGGACAGTAAAAAAATATTTGTTAATTTTAACCAAATATTAACCAGATTTTATGTTATTCCAGGTCCACATAACTTTATGTTAAGTGGCTCATTAAACGCGAAAATCACACTTAATTTTTTTTTCATGGAAGCGTTTTCGAGATATGAATTTTCAATTTTTTTTTTAATTTTCTGAGGTGTTTTGACGTTTTAGACTATACTTTGAAATCTAATTGATCGATTTGACCAAGCAAGCACTTAAATCAAATTAATTAATTAAGCCCTTTACAACTTTCTCTTGTATAGTTTTGGTATCGGCTTAGTAGTTCAATACTAGCGATTTTATTAAGTTAAAAAAGTTCTTTTTTTTTTTACAAAAATTGAGGTCGAAAAGTTACATACCTTTCTGGGAAATATAGAAATCGAAAAGATAAGTCCGGTTTGATTTATTTTACGTATAGATTATACTTAAAGGAAACAAATACGCTGCTGTTGATAAAAATCCATGGATAAATGGCGAAGTTATGTATTTTTCAGTGGAAGACCAAAATTCAGTTTTTCGAGAATTTTCACGTTTTTTCTTCATTTTATTGAATTATATAAAATATTAAATTGAACTTTGATTTTTATTTTAAACATTAAATATTGAAATTAAATTATATATTGAATATTGAACATTGAAGATAATGAAAGTTTTATTTCTTCTTTGTTTTTTGTTGCTTTCCTATTCCGTTTGTATGAGGGACCAAATGTAATCACCCATCATGGCTGCTTCCCAGAAGCTGTGATGCCGCCGCTCCATAGCCTTCATTTGCTGGTGAAAACGTTCTCCGTGCTCATCACTTACGTCGCCCAGCTTGTCCGGGTTATTTACGCACTCGAACTCTCTACTTCTTTTACCCATTTTACACTTTTTATTAACTATATAAAACAATGATAAAAATACCTTTTTGAAATATCAAAAAAATAGCAGTAAAATGTCACTATGCCAACACGAGAAACAAAACAATTCACGTTTGCGGAGTCGTATCAAATTTAAATTTTGAATAATGTTTTCGGTAAAAAAAGTACGTAAAAACTCAAAAAATTCCAATCATGCACTTTAATTAGGTTTTCATTAAAGAATGAGTATGAGTATGAGTATGAGTATGGGAACGTATGGCAGGCCCCAGATATATTATCCTCCACGATCTCCCGGGGATATTTTACCCCCTTTTCGTTCTCCTGCGTATCCCGCCAAATCACAGCATTACCTGTGTTTGTTGGATCCGAAGTTTTTACGCCGGCTGGTAGATCCACCCTAGGAGGTCGTGGAAGACAGTGTCAAAGGTTAAGGCCGCTCCCGGAATTTTTGTCAGCCGGGTCGGGCCATACGTCCAGTTTAGGAAGGGTTTTTGGAGGACATTGAACTGACCCAAAACTAAGTACAATCCGGAATCCTCCGCAACCTAGGCCTTAGTAGTAACCCCATTCAATTGGTATTCGTGAATGGGGGTGGGTATGTTAGTTCTTTGCTTACTCCGGTTACCAACCTTGTATACTCTTTATTTATTTTATTGCTAAATTAGTGTTTATACCGTTTTCATTTAATTTATATCTTTGCATTCTTACTTTTTTTTCCAAATTTAATTTAAAAATATATTTTTATATATATATATATATATACATATTATTAATATATATATATATATATATTTATATGTAAATATTAATATACAAAATCGGTAAAGCCGGCCCTGTAGTGTATGGTGGAATGCCACCATATGGTCTGCTTGGCTATTGGTCGTTCTTCTTTCTTCTGTGCTGTTCTTGTATTTTTGAGCCGGGGTGTTAGTGCGCTGCTGGAACCTGTCCTTGTTGGTGAACTATTTATTTTGTTGTTAAATTATTTTTTATACCGTTTATTATTATTTAATTTGTGTCTTTGCGTTCTTACTTTTTTTCCAAATTTAATTTAAAACCAAGTTAATACTAATTAGATTAAGCCGGCCCTGTGGTGTATCGAATTAAAATTTGAAATACGGCCCTAGTGTCAGCCGTGTAACGTATGCTTTAATAGTTGGTTTATTTACTTTATTTACGTGGGCGATTTGTTTATTTACATTCGATATCTTTTAGCTTTGCTTTGTGGCTGAGCTGTAAGTTGCGTATATTATACAGGGTGTTTCACACTATATACGCAGAACTCCAGGATGTGACAGCTCATCCAAAAAGATGAAAAAAGTCGCCATCAAGTTACGCTCCAAAATGCACAATTTTCGAGATACAGGGTGTTGAAACTTTAGAAAAAAATTCGCCTTTCTCGAACATCTCCGGAACCGCTCATCGCGCAAAAAACAGCCTTTGTAAGCACCCCCCACTCAAAATAAGCCATGTTTTGTGCCAGAAAAAAAATTGTTTCCCTCATAATTGGTGGAGATTCCGAAGGGGTAGCGGGTGTTCTTCTCCTCAACTTCCACGCCTCTGAAAAAAGCACGGTTTTGAGAGGCTCATTCGAACCGCCAATGCTCTCCACACAAAAAAGGCACTCCCGGTCATAAGCTCCAAAGTTGACCGTTTTCGAGAAAAATCAACTTCCATGCTCAAAAACATGGTCAATTTAAAAAATATATATTTTTTTTTTACTAATTAAACAAAATTTATTTTAACGTTAGGACAAGCAACAAACCAAACCATAATTGCAAAATAAAAAATGATTTAAAAGTTGTATTTGCTTAATTCTTCAAACCGTAAAAGTAACGCATTTCGCACATTTCAGCATTTGAGTAAAAAATCATTTTTTATTATTTTTTTTAATTTTGCAATTACCGTTTGGTTTTGTTACTCTTTCTAACGTCAAAATAAATTTTGTTTAATTAGTAATAAATTTTTTTTTTCAAAAAATTGACCATGTTTTCAAACATAAAAGCTGACCCTTCTCGAAAACGGCCAACTCTAGAGCTTATGACCAAGAGCACCCTTTTTCTGCAGAAAACATTGGCGGCTCGAATGGGCCTCTCAAAACCGCACTCCCTTCAGGGGCGTTGAAGTTGAGGAGAAAAACACCCGCTACCCCCTCAAAATCTCCACCAATCATGAGTAAAAAAAAATCTTTTCCGGCACAAAACATAGCTTATTATGAGTAGAAAACGCTTACAAAAGCCGTTCTTTGCACGATAAACGGTTCCGGAGATACTCGAAAAAAACGAATTTCCTTCTAAAATTTCAACACCCTGCATCTCGAAAATTGTGCATTTTAGAGGGTAAGTCAATAGCGACCTTTCTCATCTTTTTAGATGAGCTATCACATCCCGAAGTCCCGCGCATATACCATGAAACACCCCGTATAATGTATATAATACAATAATATAATATTGTGATGTTCTTATGTTAGCAATAAACCAAATATATTGCACACACCAATCACAAATAGTTTAATTCTACATGATTAGTTTCGACTGGTACAAATATTACCATAAGACTAATTACTTGCTCGGCAGATAACCACCAGACCCCTAAGTCTAGTGCTTGCTTAAGTAAATAAACGTGTCGAATGTTTCATAAACAATAATAGTCAGTAGATTTCACGGGCCACACATTAGAGTGCATTCCTGTGAACTAATATTTTAATACTTATTACCAAGAACAATTATTTCTAACATTTTTGGTTTTTTTTTCACACGTACGCTGTTTTCGGCAATGATTAATTGTTGACAGGTTTTTTTTACAGATTTGCGTATTAGGTCATGCAATAATACTTATCAGAGTCTGCTGGTGATGATGACTTGTTTTTTCTTTAAATAGGTGATTCCTTGACCTGTCCCCTGTCACTTTATTATTTCGTGTCCGCACGAACCTCACTCCTATGTTCACCATTGAGAGATTGCCTTTTGAGGAATTATTTAATGTTTCTATTAACCCCTCGGAGAACAGGTACCCTGATTTCACCTGTACAGGTATGTAGTAACCCAAAATACTAGCACTGTTTCGCACTGTTTCGCACCGTACTTTACTCGACTACACTGTATATAATAATTATGTTTCTTTAAGAATTTTATTGTGGATCGGCACTTAGCGCTCAAACTACACATCCATTCGCTTCGCCGGTATCGATAAGACTGTGGTTTTCATTAAAGAATAAACATATTACAAAATTTGTAAAAGAAAAAAAACTAAAAATAGTCAAAAAGCTGACTGTTTGGCAAAATAGATTTCAAGCTATACTCAAAACGTCAAAACACCTCCGAAAATTGAAAAAAAAAACAATTGAAAATTAATATTTCAAAAACGCTTCCATAAAAAAATGAGTGTTATTTTCGTGTTTAGTGGGTCAAAATACATGGGAAAATTATAATGGGATATGGTATGGGCAGATTTTTTTTTTCGATTTTTAAAACTATAGTGTAATTCAACCATAATTCTTGTAATTTTTAAAAAGGGCCTTTTTGCAAACTTTTTTGTAGACCCAGTAACAAAAGTATTTGTTGGAAATTGGAAACTTAAATAAAAAGAATTTTGATTAATCAATAACACTGTAGGGAGGTATCACAGCTAAACGCTCGGACACGTAAACTTAATTTTTGGTCGTAGATTACAAATCCGTGCTTGGTTTAGCTGTATCAGGTAAAAATTCAAAGATATTGAAAACACCCTGTATAAATTTAAACACACTGTATAAATTAAAAAAAATCAATTTGGTTGGACTCACACAACAGTTCCAAATTAAATAAAAACAAATTCTTGCAAAATTTGAAGTTAATTGATCAAAAGGAAAAACTTTTTTTAGTTCTGATACAACTAAACTGAGCACGGATTTGGAATCTACGACAAAAAAATTTTGTTTACGTGTCCGAGCGTTTAGCTGTGATATTTCAAGAGTTGCAAATTTACCTACAGTGTAATTAATCAATTTTCTATCAAAAAAATTAACATACATATACATAAATGAACACAAAAATTGACTGCCTGCAATCACGTGTACATTTTCAAAGAAAATAATTTGTTAAACATTAACAAAATAATCTGTAACCTTTGAAATTAACAAATTGCTTACAAAATTGCATATTACTTTTACAAAACTTTCGTTAAAATATTTTCCTTTGTTAAAATAACTAGAAAATCTGGTTTTCTACAACAATTTGAATTAAAAGTTAAAATTAACAAACTACAAACTCATACAAATCTGATTTGTTGTAGACTGCATATTTAAATTGTTTAAACCGTCCTAATTAATGTAATATTTATAAATTTTGATTTAATGCTGTAAACGTAAATTTGACGTTTAACAGTTTATTATGTATTTCGTAAAGCAAGTATGCTTGGAAATTTAATAAAACCCATCTAATATGATTAACTCGCGACTGTATTTTATTAAAAACCGACTCGTTTGTGTGTTATTAAAAAGCTTTTTGGCTTTTTCCCTTTAGAGAGAAATTGACCCAATTTTCCGTTTTACCAGCAAAGTTTTACGTTTGCCGATTCTACGCGTATTACTGTTTTACTTTTTTTGCTTAAATGCTCGGCAAATAAAGTTCCTTTTAGCGTTGGAAATCTCCGAGAACTTTTTGATTGAGGCTATTTATATTGAAATCAAAAAGCTCTGTGCTTTTGAGGCATTGAAGTCTTACGAACTTTTGATATATTTCTAAAACTACTGTAAGGGATAAAATCTCCAAATGACACATTTTCCATAAATTTTTATTTATGATATACAATTTACTAAATAAACTTTTTCTATAGGTTCGTGATTGGCCAGTACGTCACAGTGCATGGTGACGTCATAAGTCACGTGAATATAAGTCACGTGATGGTTGAAGATGGTGGTGAATATACTTGCAATGCGGAGAATAGGGCTGGAAAAAGTTCTCATTCTGCCAGATTAAATATTTATGGTAAGTATGCTTTTAGTTAGACGTCATCTTTAATGTCAATAATCGCCTGACATCTTGGAGACATACTTTTTAATATATTAGCTTAAAAAGGCACCTCCAAATGCCTTAAGTTTTTTGTGTTTAGCCCATACATTTTCTGGATATGGGACCAAATATTTTCTGGATAGAAGCCCATATACAGGGTTAGTCTTTTAACTTGAAACTTTGAAATATCTTGGTAAATGGGCATTTTACGAAAAAAAAAATTAAATGATTCTTATAGGAAGGGGCATGGGGTAACTTTAAGATTTTCAATAAATAATTATCTTATTAAATCAAATCTGTTTTTTTTAATAACGTACGATTTTTTTACTAATATCTAAGTTTCCTAAAGTTAAAATTTTATACATTATTTCATTTAATCAGATTAATCAATTTTACATTTAAAACCTGTGTAATTTTTTAATTATTGTTTTTGTTTGTTATTTTTTGTTATCCTCGTGTTGAGCAGCTAATCCTCATGCAAGCATTGTTATCAGAATATTAAACGAAATAAATACCATCCTTACCATATTTGGTTACATCAGGAGCTTCATGGTTTGGATTTTCAAAATCGAGTAATTTTTTGTCAGTGGTCACGTGAACAAACACAACAAAATCCAAATTTTCATTTTGTATTGTTCTCCGACGAGTCGTATTTTACAACGCCCGGAACCTTGATGCGAACGGTCGCTTGGGTAAGGGCTCCCTTAACGCGCTCGTACTTCCATAACGCCATCACCGCTAAAGTTGTTCAAAAAACAAAAATTAATAACTATTCTCCACGTGATATACCAGATCCAAGTGCAAAAACAGTGCAAATTGCGTGTGGTACCTCCCCCTGGTTTAAGTGTTTTACCTGGATAAAAGGTGTGAGTGAGACGATCAGTTTAAACGAATAATTTTCTGGACTACCACACGTACTAAAGTGGGCGGTCGGGGTTAAGGAACAATTACATCACATCTACCTGGCAATACACCCGAAGTCCAAGTCTACATAAATAAGATAAGTAAAAATTACCAAAATTACATGACCATATAATTCCCAAATAATAATAATACTAAATTTTAAATTCTAATACGATATCCGCAAACTTTAACTAACAAAGAACCCACCAGGTAAACAATTAGTTTCAAATTAAAGCAACCAGTCAAAAAACTATTAACACAAGGGCACACATAAGAAGCCATTAATCACGCAAGTTCTGATAAACACCAAGCAAACCAAACTCATCCTAAAGAAATTAACATATGTAGTTTACTAACACATTAAGTGCACCATAAATTGGGTGACTCCTCAAACGTTCTAAGTGAAAATAAACAATCGCAACCGCACAGTGGGGTGCAAGCATAGTAGGGATACTACTAAGAATTATTCTTGGCGGTGTCTTTTCTATGTTTGCACACCTCTATTATAGTATTGTTTATATGGGTGCAACGTTATAGATAATCAAAAAGCTGGGAATATGACCCGGATAGAGAGAAGGACACAGACGAACAGGAAGTACTTCAAAACTAGCAAGGATAGATCCTAGCAGCATATTAACCAATCAAGTCCCCAAATGAATGGAGTTATTACTAAAACCCTGGTTGAGGGGGAGTCCGGATTCGACTTAGTTTTGGGTCAGTTCAAGGCCCCCAAAAACCAAATATTGTCCCTCCTTGTTCTACACTCCACTAGCCTAAATCAAGCATGTGGTCCGACCCGGCGACAAAAATCCGGGAGTGGCCTTAACCGGCCGTTGGGGCCTGCCATACATTCTTATACTCATACTCATACTCATACTCTCCGACGAGTCGTCTTTTACGAACTACGGAACGGTACTGGAATGTTGAAAACAAACTCTACATTATTGAAGGGAACTTAAATGGCGAAATGCACCGAGATATTTTGGAAAATAAACTGCCCACATTACTTGAAGACTTAAGCTTAGAAGTACGACAGAACATGTGGTTTCAACATGATGGTTGCCCAGCACACCATTCGGTGTTAGCACGTATAAATTATACGGTATAATACTATTATTTCCATGGTTGGCCTGCTAAATCACCTGATCTTACTTTGCCGGATTTCCTTTTTTCAAAGACCGTGTGTTAGCGAATTAGAAATGCTTGTGCCGAAATTAACTACTTACTTGTGTTTATCCGAATCCGAATTAAAAAGTGCATTGAAGTCACAGGCCACCATTTGAGCACTTACTTTAATTAAAGTATTAATAAAAATTTGAAAAGTAAAACTTGTTTTAAGCTAAATTTGTAATATTAATAATAACAACCAACAAGTATTTTATAGAAAAATTATTGCAGAATCGTATTCAGAAAAAAAATCGAACAAAAATTTTTTTTCATTACAGCGTCATCCATTACAAATATGAAAAAATCTACCTATTTTTAGTCGAATGATCTGCAATAAAAAATTGGGTGTCCATTGAAAATTTGAAAGTTACCCCATGCCCTCTGGTGTGTCCATGGATGTATTTATTTTCAATTTTTCGAGAAAAAGTAATTTTTCATAATTTCTTTTGCTTGTTATATAAATACGATTCGCGTTGATAAACATCCATTTAGTTGTACAGGGTGAGCAAAAATACTGATTTTCAAAATTTAAAAATTTTTAAATATTTTTTTTTTTAAGCGTTAATATAAAGAGTTGGTAAGGAGAAATCAAAAATTGAAATGAAGTTTTTTCATATGATATTTGATATTGAAAATGTAAGATATTAGTTTTCAAATTTTGAAAGCAACAACCTTGATTCATAATCACAAAATGAGCAAGCAGTCAATTTCTACAAAATAATAGGAACACTCAAGTTAGGACCTGAATGGATTTTATTTTTAATAACAAAAACTCACATGAAAAAACTTTATTTGGCTTTGTTTTCATATTAAACCTTCAAAAAAATATTTAACAATTTTTAATTTTGCAAAATCTACAATTGTATTTTTTGTGCGCAACCTGTATAACAAAATAGAAGTTTCTCATCGTGAATGGTATTTATATAACAAGCCGAAGAAATTATGAAAAGTGACTTTTCTTCGAAAAATTGAAAATAAATATTTTTACAAATATAGTTAAGTCCATCCGTGGACACACGTGTATAAGGATTAGAGTATTTTAATTTTTTTTCGTAAAATGCCTGTTTACTAAGATGTTTTAAACTTTCAAGTCACCCTGTATTTTCTGGATATAAGCTAATACTTAAATTTTCTTGGATTTGCGACATAGCCTGCAGGTGATTGTGAAAGTCAATCGTTTGACTTAATTCATAAATGCGCTTAATAGACAGTAAAAAACTTGTTTTGGTTTTGAGTTTATTATTATCCTCCAGAAATGAAGATTCAGTATTATTTTTTCAACAATGCATCAAGGAAATTCTACTCCACTATAGAGTAAAGTTTAAACTGCGGTTCTAGATGTAGAACCGCAGTCCTTACTTGATTTACTGCGGATTGCCGAACTTTGGAAGTACCCTCGTAAAAATGCATGACATTAACAAAGAGAACATGGACGTTAATGCCCGCGTTATACTAATAGATTACAGAGAGCATTGGATAAAAGGTATTAGCTGCCCAGTGCCGCAAGTAATGCCCACTTTCTCACATAATTAATTTTCTCGAGAGTAATTAATTTCGCCGGTCTGCTGCCATTCCAGACTTGTGTTATCTTGTTAGCATGCAGCAGCGTGTTCGATCGAGCTCGCGCGTTTCCATTGCACTAAACCATTTCGAATAGTTTCAATTATGTTTCCGAAACGTTCTGTGCCGTTGTATGGGCTCAACTTCACCTAAAGTCGTCTAAAATTGATAACAAGTTTAGCAGAATGTTGTGTGATGTTTACACAGTAAAAAAAACTTTACACTAGGCTGCACTAGAGAACACTAGAGAGCTTGAGCAGGTCCACTTTATTAGAGTTCAAATTTTCACCCTAAATTTAGTGTGAATTTTAGTGTTGTTTTAACTCTAGGGGTTGAACTCTTATAGTGTTAGACATTTAACACAGTTCGTGCGACTTTCTACACTATTTGATTGAAAATTACTACACTAACCGTGTTCGGTAGCTCTCTAAAAGGGTTCACTTTTACACTAATTTATTTGCATTTATTTCACTTTTAGTGTGAATGCTATTTCTAATAGTGCTGGAAATTTTATCTATCTAGTGTTTATCCTATAGGATTATAGTGTTATCACTAATAGATTTAAAATTTCTACACCAATTATTACTATTATAGTGTGTAAAATTGGTGTCTGCAGTGCGCCCTAAAAGTTACATACATAAAATTCATTTAATTTCGATAAAAATGGTATAGGTAAAATGGTATACCCAATATATATTATAATATTAATACATTATACACCCAGTGGAAAAAGTACATATATGTGCTTTCTCCGCTGGGTGTATAATGTATTTATATATTATCGACGAGCATACATTTCACTGCCGAGGCGTTAGCCGAGGTAGTAGATTGTGTGCCAGGCAATTAATAAGCTTTCGCCGCCGTGTTTTATATACTATTTTTTTCCAAGAATTTAATTTTTTTAAATTCTATTCAACTGACCATGACATTTTAGATTTATTTCGATATAGAAAGTCTTTATATTAATACTATATATATATATATATATATAGACAGTGTTATAATACGAAAATTATTGTACGCTTAAAAAAAACATATATAATGGAGGTTTGCAATGATTCTGCTCTTATTAATTTTTTATATATAATATTTATTCTATGAATTACTTTTGGTTAGCGCTGCAGATATCTTGATGGGGTACTAAAAGAGGATATTTAAATAATGTTCATATAAAACAAATTTATATTTACCTATATAAAAATACAGTCTATTGTAAGTTTTACGTTACAAAAAATTAAACTACAATCTTTGGCAATTATATTTATAAATATGTAAATACATTGTAAGTTTTACGCTACAAAAAATAAAACTAATCTTCGGCAATTACTTAAAATATAAATAGGTTTATACACACAAAATAATATTTTAGCACCAATTGACACTGATTGGTGTAAATTGTATGGCTCTTTGGAAAGCAAGCTTAAAATTTCGTAGTTTTATACAGGTAACAATTCTTACCCATTTTGTGACTAAAATTTCTATCGAATCGGGAAATTCTTCTATATAATAATTATGTACCAAATTTTTGCATTGACTATTTCCCTCGTCTTAATTTCCACCAATCACAAACGCGCAATTTTGAATTACAAATGGTTTCTAGGTGAAAAAACTGTGTGACAGCACCTGTCAGCAGTTTATTCGAGTTTACCCGCGGCAAAACTTGACAGATGTTGTCAACAAAAATTTCAATTTATATTTTAATTGTTAACTGTTACTCATGAAATAGTCTTGTCAAATACCATTCGGGCATCTAATTTTTCCTGTGAAAAAAATCGAAAAAACACAATGCTAAGTAATATTTTTTAACAAAAAGCATTCGTGCAGGTGCAAAAATCCTCCTCTTCGACTCGGATTTTTGTTGCCACCAGCACTCATGCTTTTTGTTAAAATATCACTTAGCAACGTGTTTTTTCGATTCTTTTCGGAAAAATTAAATGCCCTTATGATATTACTTACGATAATCTCAAAATAAAACTTTAACTGAAGATCCACTTTGCAATTCAGTGCTAAAGTTATCATCATAAAATTCAATCTGCTGGTATCGCACTGCTAAGGTTTGTTAAGCAAGCTTTAAATCTCGTAGTTTTATACAGGTAACCAATTCTTACCCATTTTGCGACTAAAATTTCTATAGAAAAGGGAAATACTTCAATATAATAATTATATACCAAATTATTATTTTTGCAAAATAAAACTTTAAGTGAAGATATACTTTGCAATTTAGTTCTAAAGTTGTCATCATAAAATGCCATCTGCTGGTATCGCACTGCTAAGGTTTTAGCTAAATTTTTAAAGTTACTCTCAGAAAAAAACATCTAAAAATTACAAAAAAAAAAACAATTTACTTATTATATACCTACATTAAACTGAGCTATTGTAAGAACTGTACTTGAAATTTGTTTATACAATAAACAAAACGCGATTTTCACGCGATTTTCGACCTTATAAACCAACACAAAATGCAATTTTTTACATTATAAACTAAGATGAATAATAATAATCCTTTAAAATTGACTTACCTTTAGTTAATAATTATAAAGCACAACTAAACAGCTTGGTGCATTCTTCCAACACAAATTCGGAGAGAACAATGAACGAAACAATTTTGCGTTTTTGTCAACTGAACACAACCTGATTACATATTTACACTAATGTGCACTGCCAGAGCTTGGCTAGTGTTAAATGTATATTTAAGTGTGAAGTTAGAGTGATGTGGAACACTATTATCATTCCATCCACTTAGATTGAAAATAGTGTGATGTTTTACACTAACTTTTTCACTCTACAACTTTCACCTGGGAGAACACTAAAATCTTTTTTTACTGTTTAGGTATGCCTTACATAAGGCTCATCCCGAAAGTATCGGCTGTGGCAGGGGAGAGCCTTCAATTGAAGTGTCCAGTGGCTGGTTATCCGATCGAGGAAATTCACTGGGAACGCGGTGGCAGGGAACTTCCGGACGACCTTAGGCAAAAAGTTCTTGTGGACGGCACTTTGGTGATTTCTCCGGTGGAAAAGAAGGCGGACTCCGGAGTGTACACTTGTTGGGCGCGAAACAAGCAGGGCCACAGCGCGAGAAGAAGCGGCGAAGTCAGCGTGATAGGTCAGTTACATTTTTTATTTGGATTCAATGTAAGATAAATGCTTGTTTCTGCGTGAAAAAACCAATTTAACTTTATCGAGTTTAAACACGAATAAGTTAGATTCCAATTAAAGTTGTGGATACAAGATGGAATTATGTTTTGTTCAGATATAAGTAGTGAAAAAGTTTCTTTAATAAGTAATTTAAACAAGTTTTATACCTACCTATTGTGGCTGCGGGGCCTTGCCAAGTTTTTCAATTATTTTTGTAAAAGAAAATGTTTTCGTAACAATAAACCAACGTTTATTTACACGAACCGATCTAAGCGTTTATTAAACTTATTTTGTAGTGTTTTAATTATATTATATAAAAGTTTTTATTTGGAATTTGACAGCGTAAAAATATTAACTTCCTTCTATAGTAATTGGGTCTTCCCATCTCAAATTCACCAGACAAAAAGGGGTGGGTCCTTATTTTCCAACAATTTTTTTTTACAGTTTCTATACCGAAATCAATGTGACTCTGATTTTTTCTGTGTCCGTTTGTTTGATTTCTAACTTTTTGTCGCCGCGCACCGTTGTGTTTTTTAAGTTTTAAGTGAATTACGTGTTTTGTTTTTTAAATAAACTTTATTTTTTATTAACAATAATGGCACCAGCGGAAGTAAGTTGTATGCAAAATCTTTTAAAAAGCCCGATGTCACTTGAAGATAAACTTTTAATTAAGAAAAAAGGAAGACATATTCCGATCTTCGAATATCTAAGAAAAATACGAGTGGATATGCGGATGTTCAGTAACCAATGAGCTTTTTTGTTTTATGTGCTTAATTTTAAAAAAAATTAGTTGCGTGGAATAAACATGGGTTAGATGATTTAAAACAAATCGCAGGCTAAGAAGTACGAAAATTCAGTTTCTTGCATGACATTTTTTTTTTTTTTGAAAATGCTATAACTTGGCCAAAATTGTACGTAAATGTTTCCTACATCCCAAAAATATATAAAAAATTAAGTGAAATCACTTAATTTTTTTTAATTGTTTTTTTCTAAAAAGGGATCAAAAAAACTGAGGTCAAAATTTTGACATTGCCACATTTTTTTAACTTTAAATATTTTTTCGATTGAAGTTGATAATATAAACAACTTTCACCAAAAGTCCCGAGTTGGCTAAATTCGTCATTTCTGAATTATCAATTTTTATTGAAAATGCCATTTTCTACTAAATTTGTGTTCCATAAAAAAATTGGTTTTTTATCTAGTGTAATGAAACTGGTGTGTATGAAGTGTAATTTAGAACTTTTTGACATATTTAACATATTTTTGTGAATTCTGGATAAAACAACCTATGTATTTTTACATATATCGATTCAAAATAAAATTCTGAATGTATACCTACGCTAAACTTTAGTGTTAATCTGAATGAAGAAATAAATTGCATACAGTCTCTGTAAATATAAATTGTACCTATTAGATGCAATAAATACACATTTTATTAATGATTAACGTGAAAAATGTAAACATTTCAATTCAGTAAAAATCGTCAAACAAATAAGTCGTCTAAATTTAAACACCATTTACCATTATATTATGTATTATAATATAATATAATATTATGTTGCCATGAATTCGTAGGTATATTTTGTTGTTTAAAATGCAGTTGTCGGCGTTTTTTAGAGAACTCAAATATAAAAATGGTTGATTTTAAGGTTATGTTTGTGCAAAAATTATTTTTTACTAATTTCTTAAAAATGTCTAAACTTAAATATAAATTATATTAGGTAAAGTTATCATTAGTTAATTCTGCATCAACAAATGTACTTACCGAATTGGATCCTTTGGCAAAACATGAAAATGCAACGATTTAGTTCTTGAATTTTATTTACAATTAAAAACACAATAATTCACCATGATGCCTTAGGTAAAATACACACACTAACGTAACTATACAAGCATTTAAGCTTTGAGTTTCTTAATCAATGATATAAAGAATAATCAATCGAAATCGAGTACTAAACCAGTTTTTTAGTTTTTTCCTTGAAACGTAAAACACAAATAACGTGGACGATTTAGCTGTGCAATTGAACAAAATTTGTCGAGTAAGACTTCTGCCTTCCTCTCTTTAGTGAAAAAACTAACATTTATCTAAAAATGATGTACAGTTCGTATGCTTTAAATGTATTGTTGACAATTCTTAAATTCACGCAATGCTTTTGAAGTCCACCAGATGGCGCGCGCGTTGCGAAAACCCGATACTTCTTTAGCGTATTTTGCAATGCTTGTTTTTATAAATATTGAAAAACCATACTTTATGCCAAAACTATTTTTTTTTAATAAAAGAGGGTGGTTCGTTGGTCATAAAAGAAATCCACTTTTATTAAATTTGAAACCAAATATGAATGCGTTTTTTAATAATATCGCTTTCAAACTCTTAATTAAATTTGAATGTTATTAGGTTTTAAAGTGTGTACGGAAGTAAATAAATAAGGAAGACTTTAAAACCTTTGTGTTTAAAACAGTTATTAGATTTTACACTTCGTTAGTTTGTTTTGCTGGTAAGTAAATATTAACATTTTACTTTACTATGAAAACATACGCTAAAACTTTTTATAAAATAAAATAAAAATAATAATTCAGGTGGTTAGAAGTAAGTAATTGCTCAACATTTTTTGGTTTTAATTAAAACTACTAAATAAGTTCATTTAAATTTTTTTAAATGATTATAAAAAGTTAAATTTAATCGCCCAATAGTGTTGCCATTGTAGGGAATCTCTGGCAATAAATAAAAAAACGAAATATAAAATCAAATCAAAATTTGTTATTTTCAAACATAATTAACCTGAGCATTAGTTTGTGGACCTCTTAGGCTTAATACTAATTTCCTTTCCTGAAAGAGCCTGTCAGGGTTTTGGTTGGTAAATACAGTTGTCAAGTTGGTCGCATTGATTAAGACAAACTAAGCTAGTTATAAATCTAATTGTGGTTATGTATAAATTATTGTAGGTTTCATTGTGCAGTTGTCAAGTTGAGTTGTCGAAATTAATATATAAAAATGCTATTAATTTGGCTTTGGTGGTGCTTGGATGAGTAAAATCATATAAAAAAGTAGTTAAATAGAGGTTGCTTTACGGCCCAGAAGAGAAAGTATTCCTAGCGGATAATAATCTTCGCTTTGAAAAGAATTTTTATAAAAGAAATTAAAATTTTTTGTGAACGTAAATGTTGTCCAATGTTGAATAATGTGAAAATAATGTGTGATGTTTTATTTATAAAACCAAATTTTACTCAAAATATTTGGCATTTGGCATATTTTCATCAAAATGAAGTTTTGCCCTCAAAAGGGCTTTTACATTCAATATCGTTGCTATTATTTTTGGCATAATTTTCTTTTTATTTATAATTGACAAGTAAATTATAAATTATAAATATTATTGTCAATTTGACAGTGTCAAAGTATTTAATTAAATTCTTTAGCAGAAGTACCATTTTTAAATACTAAAAATACTAAGTCAAACTGGCATAAGCCACCAACCTAACAAAAAAACACGAGTCCAGATAAAAAAAATGAACTGTATCTGTTATCCGACCAAACTTTTTCGGAATTGTTTGTGTTCTACATTTCTTCCAAATCGCGTTTTTATAGGTTTCTTGTGCATTTGATTCATTACTTTTGGGTATACCTACATACAGTATTGGCCATAATTATTGCAACAACTGTAAAAAAAATCTAATTCTAAAACGCCTCTATTAATCTTTATGAAATTTTGGATAGAAATACTACAACATTTTTCAGTTTACGTGTTCAAGGGTTTTTCGAGAAAATATTTTTAAAGCCCTTTTAATTTAATAATGAAAAAACGTTCGAATTATAACTTTTAGGGTAATTTTTTTAAGTAAATAAAAAATATGCTGTTAAAAACCCTATTTTTGTTAGTATACCCTGAAAATTTTGTACAAATCAAATGAACAGCAACGAAGATACAGCGATTCAAAGTCGTCAAAAATGATCACTTTTCAGCAAAATAATCAAAAAGGGGCAATTTTTACCGACTTTGAAGCGCTGTTACCATTCGTTTGATTTGTAAAAAATTTTCAGGGTATACTTACACAAATACGGTCTTTAACAGCATATCTTTTATTTACTTAAAAAAATCACCTAAAAGTTATTTTTCAAACGTTTTTTCATTTTTAAATAAAAGGGCTTTAAAAAATTTTCTCGAAAAACCCTCGAACACGTAAACCGAGACATAATTATATTATGCCAAAATCATGAATTTACGCTTTTGCTTTATTAAAAGAAGCGATTTTTGACTAACCCTGTATATATTAAATGATGTGCACAGTATTCTTCAAATCTCCTTAACAATATACTCCAATATTATAAAAATCGGTGTACAAATGTGTACTCTGTCAAAGGTAGACTTTGAAATAAACAAAAATTTAACAAAAAATCATGAATTTTCAAAAAATTTCGAAAAGAGGAGCAGCTAGGATTTTGGTAAATATCAAGTCACCAAAGGGTCCCGAACAAGATACTGCAATCAGTTTTTGGCGGCATTTTTATGTGACTTAAACTTCGTTCAGGCACACCGTGTTTAATTTACTTACTTAAGACCATTTCCGGGCAAACCAGAAGTTACAAAAATATGTTAAATATGTCAAAAAATCTAAATTACACTTTATATAGGTTACCCCAGTTTCATGACCTTAGATCAAAAACCAAATTTTTGAGATGGACCACGAATTTACTGGAAAATTGCATTTTCATTAAAAAAAATAATTCTGAAACGACGAATTTAGCCAACTCGGGACTTTTGGTAAAAGTTGTTCATATTATTAACTTCAAACGAAAAAAATTTTAAGTAAAAAAAATGAGGCAATGTCAAAATTTTGACCTAAATTTTTTTGCCTTTTTAGGAAGAACAATAAAAAAAATTACTTATTTAAAAAAAAAATTGTAACGATCAAAATATTTCTGCCCATTTTTCAAAAATTTCCTACGGGCGAACAAAACAAATTTAAGCAAAAAGAAAAAATTCGGGTCTCATCGATTCGGTAGAGAAACTGTAAAAAAAATTCGTTGAAAAATAACGACCCCTTTTCTCCTGGTCTATTTGAGATGAAATTAAAAAAATGTCACTACTAAAAATAATGATTAAACATGATACAAAAAAAAAATTCATAAGAGTATTTTGGATTCTTGATCAGCTCCAAAAATTTCTTTTGGCTAGTTTTTTCTAAATTCGTGTTACAAACACAACTTCACCTATCAATTTCCAAATAAAAACACAATATAGGAAGCACCATGAAGAATTCTTAAGGAATCCAGTTGGAGCAGTGGATATGGTGAAGACGGAAGTTCTCCGAGGATGAGTGGGTCCCATCCGGGAACTCTTAATTTTTACCTTGTTAATTTCAGTGCCGCCAAAAGTAAGTCCTTTTTACGCCGAGGATACCCTGCACGTGGGCGACCGCGCCAGCTTGACCTGCTCGGTAACGAAAGGAGACTTACCTTTGACCATAAGCTGGCACAAAGACGGAAGAACCGTCGAGCCGGCCCAGCTGATGTCCATAACGCAGGTCGACCAGTTCACAAGCATACTGGTGATAGAGAGCCTGAGCCCCGACCACAACGGAAATTATTCTTGCGTTGTGAGGAACCTGGCTGCCGAGGTCTCCCACACGCAGCAACTGGTGGTCAATGGTAATAACAAAGTGCCGTGTCGCTTGACTCTAGGTTTAAGGTTTTTTCGTTGAGATTCCTTTCTTTCGTCTTATGTGTTGTTTTCTTTTTCTGTCTCTCAGTTCCTCCCATAATTGAGCCCTTTTCCTTCCAAGACGGGCTGTCGGAGGGCATGCGCACGCGCACCGTGTGCGGCGTAAGCGCCGGCGACCCGCCGCTGGCGGTCAGCTGGTTAAAGGACGGGCAACCTTTGACCCCCGCGCTGGGGGTCAACGTGTCCGCCCTTGACCCCTATTCCAGTCTCCTCAGCATTTCGGCGCTAGACTCGCGTCACTCGGGAGACTTCACCTGCGTGGCCAGCAATCCCGCCTCAGAGGTCAGATACACAGCCAAACTGCAGGTCAAAGGTAACACCCTAACCCCCGTCCGTCCCATCCGACCCCACAACCACCTCGCGGCACTCTGGTCAAAAATATGCAATCGATTGATCTCGATCTTTTGGCAGTAAGATTTTCCACTTCGTCCACTGGATACTTATGGCCTTAAATTTTTTACAAACAAACCAAAAGAAGGTTTTAATGCACTTAGTTTTAAAAGCCTTTCACCACTTTGTAATTCCATCTAGAAGTTGGCGCATTTAATGGAAAAAACTATCAATTTCATTAGTTTCTTTAAAAAACTTTCTTGACCCATTACTGGTAATATTCATAAGAAAAAATTGAACCCACACCTCGCCAAAGTTTTTTGTTTTGAGTGCGTTCCACCAACTTCAGATACCGATAGACATCTGTTTCGACCTATATTGGGTCTCATCAGTGTCGGGCAACTTGGTCTAGTGGAACACACTCAAAACAAAGGACTCCCTGAGCTTATATGCTTGGTTGGTAAGCCATCAGAGGCGAGATGTAAGAACATCAGGTAATCCACACCGTCAAACGACGTGGCCTTTGCCGCAATCGGTACATACTATGCAACCGAGACTGCACACAGCAATTGTATCAATGATACTTATATGGCTTAAAGGAATCTAGAATTAGCCCAACCGGGCTAAACATTAAGGTACACATTAAATTTTCTTAGTTTCTTTAAGAAACTTTCTTGATCCATTACTGGGAATATTCATAAGAAAAAAAAACTCAATATAGGTCGAAACAGCTGTCTGTCGGTATCTGAAGTTGGTGGAACGCACTCAAAACAAAAAACTTTGGCGAGGTGCAAAAGCAAGTCACTGGTCCCGTTCTCTCAAGACACGACATTGACAGTCTTCACTGAACAATCCAATCCTTGTTTCATCCGAGAACAGAACATTTGACCATTGAGGCAATAACCCGTTTTGGTAATCTTGAGCCCATTCTAACCGCGACTGTCTATGCCTACACAGCAAACGGAAAAATATGGAACTGTATAGGATGACTCCCCGTTTGAATACTAAATCTTAAAGTTTTATCAGAACTGTATTCAATCGTGCTTTGTGTTTATATTTTTTGCCTCTATACCTATGCACGACTAAAGTTAAAGTCAAACTCAATGGTGTCTTACAAGATAAATTATTTTGATTTTCTATATTTAACAGAGGTAGAAACTCGAACCTGTCGAATGGTGCATTCATTTATATCTCTAGAAATTATTGAAAAAGAGTTCAGTCCAGTGGTGCAGCAACTTCGAGTTTTAATCATTGGATGTCTACTTTTCACAGAACCCGTTTCATTATGCCTTTGAATGGTCCGAGTAACCATACTATGGTCACAGCCTAATCTATCAGCTATTTGCAAACGAATTTTATTGCCAAGTTGAGCTCTAGGCATTTTTAAGAGGATTTTCAACACTATTGAATGTTAAGGGACACGTACAAAACTACATATTTTGTTTAAGATTGCGGAACAGATTTACTTCTTTGGTTTTTACGGTGATTTTTTTTAGTTCCATAACAAAATCATTCACAATTCAATATTAATACTACTGAAATTCAATAAATATTAATATTTTTATATTATACTTGGTGGTGCAAGACTTTTGAAACTAAGTGTATTTGAGTTTTTAGACATTTAAGACTGCTTTTAGACAATTAAAAATAATACAGTTATAAGACATTTTTAGACTTTTTTTCATGATTTTCATCCAACTAAAAACCTCAGCGGACAGTAGATTACAAAACAAAAAAGCAGGAAAAAAATAAGATTTTTGACCAAGGTGTAAAAGAGTCACCCCCACCTCTCTGTTCGCTTTTGGCACACGCGAAGACAATGTGTGGCCGTCACACCACGTCAAGGTACTGTTGCACCCACTCTCTATCTCTTTCTATTACTATCTATCTGTCTCTTCTTTTACTATCTACCACTCTTCACTTAGTTTGGTTATGTTTATGTTGCATGTTCGATGTTTTATCTAAGTTTTATGAACAAAGGGTGCCAAAAACAAGCCCCCAACAATCAACAAACATAAAATATGTGAATTTTAGTCATTTCAGATAATAAAAGTTTTCATTAAAACTGTAGATTTTTGGAACTTGTTTTGGGTACCTCCTATAACTTTTTCTGGCCAAAGGAGGTTGACGTTTTTGGCCCGAGAAAGTTCAAAATATGAACTTTTTGATTTTTTATGTAGCGGATCACCGCTTAATATGTCACCACCGCCACCGTATTTTTTAATAAGAAGATGTTGTCCCTCACCAGTAATCGCTTTATGCAGCAAAAACCCCTTAAAAAAATCACCCACATCCAAATAACCGTGTAGTAAGTGTGGTAATGTGTATCCACCAAAAAAATGACCACGGCACAATTTTAATTTCATCGATGTTATACTAAACGGGCCACTTCGTCAAAACAAAGAATATACCTACCAACATGCGTTTTTTTAACGAAAATAACTATACAATCAAATTTTTTAATCTTTGTCTTGAAGAATGACCTTCAACGCCGATCTTAAAACCACCAAACATAATATAAATCATATTTTTCTACTGTCAAAACTTACTGTTTGTTTGGTTTGGTTTAATTTCGGCGTTCGATTGGCGCAGTCGCTGTGCGTTTTAATGTTTTTTTCGTGATTTTTCAGTGCCACCCCCGTTGGTTGGTTGAACCTAGCGATGTTAGTGTGGAACGTAACCGCCACGTGGCGCTGCATTGCCAGGCGCAGGGGGTTCCCACGCCTACTGTCGTTTGGAAGAAAGCCACAGGTCTTGAAAAAATTATTTTGTTGGGTCCGGCAATAAGTTTAAATGTTTTAAATTAAAAACTGTGTTTCTTTTTAACCTGTTTAATCCTATTGCCAGACGTTTTAGGAGTCATTAATCCTTGTTTGACTTTATTAAGAGTTTATTACTTCCAAGACAATTGGGATATATCTTTTAAGCAGTTTTAAATCTTGAGAACTTTTTCAGTCAGTTGTAACATTACTATATATTTATATACATGGGTGAATATTTCAAAAGTGTAATTCAATCGGTTCTGGCTTGGTATTTCAAATGTTAATATCCCACTGAAAATAAAATACTTCATGTCTAGTTTAATTAACTATTTTTACTTTATTCCTTACTTATTTTAGTCTAAACGAGCATGGTAAAAAATATATTTTAATTTTTGTGTCGCAAACGTCATTACCGAGCCTTGTCCACATTCAAAGAACAACAACATATTATTTTCTTACATTTATTTACAAATTAAATCTTGCAATATCCTGTCTAAGACAGACGAAGAAAATACAAAATAATACAATGCAAACAAGAAATTGCATTTTAAAATGTTAAATTTTCTTTTAATGCCGTTTAAACTTCGTTCAAACCCATGAGCGTCATTGCCGTGGCTACTTAAAATGTGTCTAATTTCATATTTAAATACGCGATACATTCGGAAAATGCCGGAAGTTTTCGAACGTCTGATATGGAAATATCCTGCCTGTCTAATGTCCACTAGCATATTATGTCAAACCATAAAGTTATGACGTGCGCCGAATGAAAACGAAAACGGCTTGTTACGTCTAAGTCCGTCATTGTCGGGGTAAGTATTATTTCAAAGTTTAGGAGTTTTGCATTAACAAAAAGCAAATGGTAACTTGAAAATTCCATTACATTTTCGAAACATTGTAAAACACTCTAACCTTAAAATCATCATTACCGTGCTCATCATTGTCGTGTCCCTTACATGTATGTAACCAATTTAAAATATTTCATTTCAGTGGGAAATTAATTAAAATGACAAAACCACGAAACAAGTTGACCAACAAAGCTAAAAGACAAGCAGAACGTAAGAGACGCAGAAGATTAAGAGATGACCAAGTAAAACCGTGGGTTCAACTTTCTAAAAAAGACAAAAAAAATTAGGTTTTTAGTCTTCATGTTCATGAGTGGAAAAGTCCTAAAAATGCAAAATTAATAAGATTTGCAATTTTTTTATGTGTTAACGAAAATGGTTCCGAAAATCGACAGTTTTAAAATATTCACCCATATAAATATATTTTGGACATAGTTAATAAATAAAATATAAATTAATGATTTCTTGCAAAACTTTACAAAAGTTGTCCCGGCAAATACTTTTTGCTTGTGACCATAATTCCTAAAATTTTATGTCTATAAAATGAAATATAAAATCTGTACCGAGATATCCAATCCCATGCTACATTAAGCGGAATATACGGAAATGGGGGAAATAAATGTATTTCATATTTTGCTGGCCATCAAGTCCATTTATATTGTTTTGTATTTGCAGCAAGTAAATCGGGGGATTACGAGGAAGTAAGAGATCACATGTACACGAAATTGTTGGGAAATGGCACGCTATTACTTCAGCATGTTAAAGAGGATAGGGAGGGATATTATCTGTGTCAGGCCGACAACGGGATAGGGACTGGAATAGGGAAAGTTGTACAACTCAGGGTCAACTGTAAGAATACATATTATTGAAACGAACTTATTATATTGTGATGATTTTTTTAGCTTCGCCATACTTTTCTGCTCAGTCTCGTTTGGTGACGGTTAAAAAAGGGGATACAGCGCTTTTACATTGCGATGTAAACGGGGATAAACCTATAAGCGTTACATGGTTACGGGGTGGGAAAACCGAGTTACATCCCTCAACGAACTACAGAGTTAACTTGAAGCAAGATGTAACTCCCGACGGAGTTGCAGCTGAATTACAAATCGTCAATGCTGATGCCACCGGTAAGATATCTACAACTAAAATACTATTAGACCAGTGCAGAAGCCTTTAAAAATGGTAAAAAGAGAAAAAAAATAACAGTAGGATGAAACCCATTGGAAAAGGAGGGGAATATAATAAAAATTAAAGTAAAAATAAATTACGGGCGATCTGAGTTCGGGAAGTGGGAGGGGGGGTTTAAGGGTAAAAAATGGTTTATCTCGATTTCCGGCAAAACTACAAGTCCTATGGAAAAAAGTTAAATGTCAAAGTTGTAGGCAATAAAAAGAGCTACAACTTTTGTATTTACAATTTTTTCACATAACCTCAAAATTTATGTGAAAAATTCAAAAAAACAAGTTTTTGGTTTTTTATTTTTATCTTTTTCAAAAAAAAAAAAATTTCCACGAAATTTGGTGAAAACTTACCTTTTTATGTCCCAAATACACTGTAATTTATTTGATTTGAAATATTTATTATTTCGCCTTATTTTGACTTAATATCAAAAAAGCACCCTAATTTTCAATCGAAAATTCTCGCGTCAAAATATCAGCTTTTTTCAAAAAGTCGGTGTGCTTTTTGTTCGATGAACTCTCTACTTTCTGATGGTGTAAAAAAATATATACATTACTATGGTAAATGTTCTCAGAAAATACAAAAAATATTATAATGAATAACGTAATCAGAATGAAGTATCTAAATTCAATAGTATGATTTACATGTATTTTTATATTTTATGAGATTTTCTGACATAAATGTTATTAGAATTTAATAAATAAACTTTTTAACTAAAAAAATTGCAACAATCACATTTTTTTGATGAAATTGTACATAATGATTAAAATAAATTTTCGAATTCGAGTTTTTTTCGTTATTCATTATAATATTTTTTGCATTTTCTGAGAACATTTACCATAGTAATGTATTTTTACACCATCAGAAAGTAGAGATTTCAACAAACAAAAAGCAAACCGACTTTTTGAAAAAAGCTGATATTTTGACGCGAGAATTTTCGATTGAAAATTAGGGTGCTTTTTTATATTAAGTCAAAATAAGGCGAAATAATAAATATTTCAAATCAAATAAATTACAGTGTATTTGGGACATAAAAAGGTAAGTTTTCACCAAATTTCGTGGAAATTTTTTTTTTTTTTTGAAAAAGATAAAAATAAAAAACCAAAAACTTGGTTTTTTGAATTTTTCACATCAATTTTGAGGTTATGTAAAAAAATTGTAATTACAAAAGTTGTAGATCCTTTAATTACCTACAACTTTGCCATTTAACTTTTTTCCATAGGACTTGTAGTTTTGCCGGAAATCGAGATAAACCATTTTTTACCCTTAAAACCCCCCCTCCCACTTCCCGAAGTCAGATCGCCCGTAATTTATTTTTCCTTTCATTTTTATTATATTCTTCTCCTTTTCCAATGGGTTTCATCCTACTGTTATTTTTTTTGGTTTCAAAAATTATCGACCCTGGTCATATGCACTATATACTTAAATCTTTCTTAATATTTAGACAGTGGGCCGTACTTTTGCAAAGCCAGCAACCTGTATGGCAACGAGCAGCAGCTGGTTCAGCTTCAAGTGCAGGAACCACCAGGCCCGCCGCAAAATGTTGAAGCCGCCCTTGTCAGCAGTAGATCGGTCAACTTGAAATGGCAACACAAATCCGGGGATTCCACCGAAGTTTTCAAATTTATTGTGGAGTACAGAGAACTGGACAGTAAGTACAAATCTTGATAAATATACAAATCAATAGGGAAACTAAAATGTAAATACAGTTGCGAGACATCTCCTTTAACTGTTGTCATTTATTTAAAAGTTTTTAGTAGCATCGTGCGGCCAAATACGTATGTTAAATAAAGCCGGCAAAAGTTTTCCTGTTTGAGCGAAAGTGCGAACTTTGGTCATTTTTCTTTGTCGCTTCGCTTGCTTCTGCTCTACGTACGCAAATAGAACGCCGACTTTTCATTCATTCGGACTCATTAAACATGCAGAAACGATTCACGAAAGGTTACGGCGTTTTGTGTGCTCCTTATGAAAAGATTTATACGGCATATTTCGTCTTTGCGGCAGTGAAAAAGGACTATAGAAGGAATAATACAAAGTAGATAAAGAATCATAAAAAGTGGATAAAAACCCATATTGCTTATTGTAAAATGGATTTGCTTTATTTGAATAAATAAAAATTTTATTTCGTATTCTTTTTACTTTATTGAGAGGATTGTAAGAAATTCTTTTAAAAGTATGTTTATGGTATTTGGTGAAAGTCCTTTAGTTCTTGAATTACTAATACAGCAGGTTTGTTCTACATTCAGCAGTAGACCCTTCACCGGCGTTGGGTGATAGTTAAGTTAATTTACTTTTAAAAATGATTCAGATACTTAAAATATTCAACGCAATCACATAACAATAAATTATTAATTGAAGGTGTAAAATCATGATTTGTTTTGCATTTAACTGAAAGTGTTATCTTATAGAAAAAACGTTTAAACATAAAAAATTCTCTTTAAAAACTAAAAGAAAATAATTCTCTTAAAAACAAAAACAAAACTAAAAATCAAATTTCTTAAAATTAATATAAATAAATAAATTATAATAAAATAATAAATTATTATTTGAGCACAACCTTTGAATATTTTTTTTAAAGCTTTATTTTATTTGGGGGAAAATTGCCCCAAACAAAAGCCCAGTCTGTCATGGAGTAATTATCTCAAACTCTGTTTGCTTTTTTGCCTCTAATTATCCCAATTTTTTTTTTATGACGGTACAAGGTGGATTTTACATATCATATCATATCATTAGGGAAAAATCTCTTGTAAATACTTAATCACTGTTCTTGTGTTATGTGATGGGCAACCGTCCTGTTAAACGTTATCCAATTTTGGGGTTATGTTTTGAAATGCAGGAATAATTCTATTTTGAAGAAGATCTAAATATCTTCACCAATTACAAAGGTAGCAATAATATTATTCACATAAATACCAGACCACACATTTTCAGGATACTGAGTCTAGTTGAGTTGCCTGTACTCATTTTCAATAGACCAGTACCGGACAATAGCAGGATTGTGCTTTCCATGTAATGGAAGTGTGGATTCGTCGGTAAATACGATGTGTTCAATGAAATGTTTATCGTCACTTGCCGGTTCCATGATATTTTTACAAAATTCCATTCTTCGGTAGGTATTCGTCGTCTTGAAAAATTTCTTGATGTAATTGATATTTATAAGAACGATATTTTTTTAAATATTTTGCAGACTTTGCCTGCACTAATGCCAGTCTCTTCGGCTATTTTGGGAATTTATTTATTTGATGTTCTACTTTACCTTTGCACAAACCATTATTTTTTTCATGTCCGCATCTACATCAATTCTGAAAGTACTGTGACATTTACACCCCAAAATACAACCATATTGTTCCAATTGACCAAATAGAACGATCCGGTTATTTAACTGAGAATAGGTCTCTTGTTTGACTTAGAGAATTGCCCTCTAAAGACCTGCTTTTCAAGTCAATTTTCCCTTGCAATTTGTAGGACATTATAAATTATAATTTTAAATAAAATAAATAATTTTATGTTAAAACGCTCAAAATACACACTACACTGTTCAAAATTTCATGACCATTTTAACACCAAATTAACACCATACATGGTCTATATCGATACAAACCAAAATGTGTTAAATGTGGTTCGTTGGCCCGGTGTTAATTCAAATACTAAAATGGTGTTAATTTAACTTTTACACAGTATTAAAATAAATTTTACCTGGTGTAAATTGAACTCCTTTTCAGTGTTAAATATTATGTGTTAAATTAAATTAAATCATACTACACAGAAAAAAGGAAAAAAAAGGAAACAGAAAGTTCCTTGACGCATTACTAGTATATTACCAGTGGTATTATTCCAGAAAATGGAACCTTCAACTCGCTAGATAATGGTGTTATATTAACACCACTTGGTGTTGGATTTTGACACCATTTTAAGATTACTTTTTACACCACAGATATTTTAAACAGTTTAGCAAATGTGTAGGATATTATAACTTTAATAAATAATTTTAAATAAAAGAAATAATTTTATGTTAAAACGCTCAAAATACACACTAGCAAATGCAAGCATAACTGAATCGTCGACTTCGGCAAACCCCCCAGATAACAACCGTGAGGGGCATCAAAACGCACATCGCCTTCAGTCGTGGGGAATCATGACGGTAAAAACGCTGCGATATGATATTCATTTTATGATTAATGGGAATACACGCACGTGATTGGTATATGAGGGCACAAAATGATTGCAAACTTTTCACTTTTGCTAAGTAGATATCGCAAAATTGTAGATGTAATACTAGATCTACAATACACCTTGCGAAAATTGTTGATTTTACTTCAAATTATAACTAAAATTTTCAAAAAATTGACTTACACCATATGGTTAATTTGTGAATAGACTGGATTTGTAAAGACTACATTTGTAGACTACATTTGTATAAAAATATACATAATTTTATTTGGAATTCCAAATTGGAATTGATCTTAAGATTAAAGAGTTAACACGTTGATATTATAAGATCACGTTTATAAATTAATATATCATTCATTAATTTATGAATTTGTAAAAAGATACTAATTTTAATTAAAATAAGATATCTTTCTATAAATGTAGACAATTGTCACAAAAACTAAAATAAATGACTTAAAGAAAAAGATCTTTTGGATTGATACTTATTAACCAAAATTTTGCAATAAATCAATTTTATGAAATTAACAGCTATGTTTTGGACTTGCCTTGTCTTAATTTGATTGTTCTTACAACGTTTCGCTTAGTAATTATCTCTAATGGTCTTCAGGTAATCTGTAGACAATTGAAGATAATTACTAATTGAAACATAAGAAAAATAATCAAATTAAGGCAATGCAAATCCAAAATTCACCTGTTAATCATGGCCAGAAAAAATTCTTTAACCATCACGTGTGCTGGCTATATGAACCTCAATTGATGACGCAAATGATGCATATATGCGTGCATACGTGCGGATTACAATCACGTTGTAACTGCAATATGCGACAATTAGGAACTTCATAATGTTATCTGGGCGCTTACAATGCATCTGGGAAGGGGCGTTCGGGTTTACTCGAGTCTATATTTAAAATGTAAGTACGGTATGTAATACAATCTACTTTTTTTCCAGGAACATGGCACCAGATAGAGTTAACTGACAACCCTCTGCCGTATGCAGCTTTAATCGACGATCTGAAACCAGCAACGAAATACACGTTCCACGTTCTGGCCGAAGGACCGGCCGGTCGTAGCGCGCCAAGCGACGATCTCGCCGTCAGGACTGAACCCCAGAGACCTGCAGGACCACCTTTGAACCCATCCGTGAGACCCGTGTCTTCCACTGAGTTCTTGGTCACATGGAATCCTCCTCTGTCCGAACTGAGACATGGGGATATACAGGTAAAGTCCTTTAACGCTTTATAATCAAAAACATCGCAGCTGTTTTCTTCCTTTTAGGGTTTTAACGTGGGTTATCGCACGGTTAATATGAACAACTACAACTTCACCTCTATCACTGGAGATGGCGAGGATGGTGGTGAACTTCTTTTAGGGGGTTTAGCAAAGTTTACGAGGTACACCATAGTGGTTCAAGCTTATAACGAAGTGGGGGCTGGTCCCTTATCTGAACCTATAACTTCACAAACTATGGAGGACGGTGAGCAAAAATCATTTATTTAGTGCATGACATTCATTTAAATTTTAAAGGGTTTTAGTAAATTTGAAATTGTGCTTTTTTATACATTTTTAAGATACCTTCAATGCGGTTTTATTTAACCTGTGAAAATAATAACGAAAAAAATTCGGTGGAATTTGTTTCATCCCGACATTCATGAAATATTTTTTGTTTCTCATAAAACTTGGGTATAGGCAAAATTCCTCAATTACATTTTTACGAAACCCTATAAATATTTTGGTTAGAAAATTCAGATTCAAGGAGTTGAAACCAGAGTGGGGCAAATTGTATTCGATTATGATTATGATTATTATTTATGAAATGTAATCATAAATAATGATTACAACAAAGTAATCATAAATCATTTTAACATGAATAACGAATATTATTTATTATTTACGTTTTGAGTGGTTATAAATACTGAAATCGTCAATCGGAAAAGAATAATGATTAATAATTGTAGTCATTGTATATGATTAATCCCGGCGAAATTATATAACAACGAGTGAATGAATTTTCTTAGTTACATTGTTCTCACTTTAAATTCCTTAAGCAAGGATTAAAGACACCAGTGTTATTTCTAGATATTTTTTTTTAATTATACATATTATTATAATAATTATAATATATAGTCCTAAGACTTTTTCTTTTAATTGGCATTTTAGTTTAATATTTTGTCGAATTTCGATCAAAAATTGTGCGTTTTTCTTGCAAGCACGATGGGGTGTATATTTCGTAAGCTAGGCATGGTTTTTTTTAAATAACTTTTAAAATATTTTTTCTAACGATCAGAAAATAAAAAATATTTTAATTTTTTTTACAAAAATATGGTATTTTGTTAAAATTAAAATTTTATCAATAAAATGTGTGTTTTGTGGATTATTTACCAAAGTAATTATACAGAATGATTATAATTACATAATTTATTCTTTAATTCTGATTATGAATATTAATTATAATCATACTTTCATAAATAACGTTATTCATGATTACAACGTAAAATTTGATTATAAATAATGAATATTATTCAAGTAAAGTATTCATGAATAATGACTACATAAATAATCATTAATCCCCAAAATAATTACTATGTATATTCATGATTACAATTTTATTCGATTACTGCCCTACTCTGGTTGAAACCTATGGTTTTGAAATAAATTTAATAACAATTTTGTATACAATATGTCCCAGGATTTAGCTTACAAGAGGAAGTTTTTGTATTTTTTGTTTCCCTATTAATAAAAACTTTACATCGTCGAAAAAATAACATTGACATAAAAAAAATGGGATGTTATCTACAGGGTGTTTAAAAATTAGTAAACCATCAAATCAATCGTCAAAAAAACAACGTTAACATAAAAAATTGAATTTTTTCTACAGGGTGTTCAAAAATTGGAAAAACATGAAATCGATTTAAGAGAGAAGTACGTACTTTTCTTTTGAATCGGTAAAGGTACCTTTATCTTTAATTTTTTTAAATATTTTTATAAGAAATAGATATTTATGTATCAAGGCAGTAAAGTCACGAATGTGGAAATTATTTGCCGATGTGAGAGCCCAGGCAAATAACCAAGTGAGTTATAAAAAATGAATTTAATGCAGAGGTGCATATTAAATTTTTTCCGAAATCACATTTAATAATACTAATAATTAATATTGATGATTAAATCAAATGTCATTTGAATGTAGGAAGTGTCTGTTTAATGCGACGGTTATTATATATTTGCCCGCCGCGGCGATTTTTTAATCTAATTAATAAAATTAACCGCAACGGTGCTTTTTTAAAATATTATTTAGTTGCTGCTAAGGAGCAGTGGACACCTTAAACCTTAAAATATTCGTACATTATGATGCTAAGAAGCTAACATTAAGAATAAATACGGAAGAGTTTCAATATTCAATAAAATGTTCAAATGTCGCACCCGTTACATTTTGAGAAAATTTTAGAAAATAAAGTATACAATATTTGTGCATTTAAAATACGTGCCTGTTTAAGGTTACTATTCAAGTTTTACACAAAAAATTATTACTATATGCTTTCATCCAAAATTTTACAATACCTATCAACTTTAGAAGTCAACTTGGTCGCATTTGCAGATTTTCTAAGTTCGCGCCCGTTACTCTATTCATGACGCTATAAAAGGTTTTCTATACAAGTTTTTATTGACATTTTGTTTAAGTTAAGTACATAATTTTTTATACTATTTCTTTATATTTACGTATCTTAATATATAAACAAACACTTTATTATCATGAAAAAACGCAGTTTTAGTGTCGCACCCGTTACAAAAGTAAAAAAAAAATATTGTTAAAAAATAACATTCATAACTTGGGATTTTTACTACAGGGTGCCAAAAATGTCTTAAATAGATTTTATGTTTTCCTACCTTTTAAACACCCTGTAGTTAAATTTCCAAATTTTACTAAGTACTTCTTTCTTGAATCGATTCATGTTTTCCTAATTTTTAAACAGGGTTAGGATAAAATTTAAATTTGTTATGTCACTGTTATATTTTTGCTAAACAAACTTTTTTTACCAATAAGAAAATTCCCTCTTGTATACACTGTATAATTGTAAAATAAAAGTTATTGAAAAAAAATATATATTAAGAGTTGTATGTAAGAAATTATTCCCAGTTTTGAATGTTGCCCTAAATAAAATACCCTTTAATAACTAGCAAAAAATTTTCTAAAAAACACATAGCCAAATAACAAAGTAAATAAAATTGATGAAAGGCCGTCATCACACACACACACATGCAAAGAGGCCAGAAAAACGTCGAACGCAATTATCGATTTCATTAATTACTACACGGAAAAAAATCTGCACTATATTAAAGAATAGTAGCGTTTGATCAAGAATATACTCGTTTCACTATTCCACAAGAACTCATAATATTTGATTCAAATATAGCCCTATTCTTAAAAATTTTACTTATATTCAGAATACGCTAGTGTTGAATTTGACAATAGCCTTAACATTGTTTTAAGATTAAGCTATTCTTATTTAAAAAACTACAATTTATTTCCAAATATTTCTTATACTTATTTCAAATATAACCCCCGATTGTTCTAATAACTACTAATACTAATCTGAAGTATTTTTTAATTTTGTTTTAAAAATATTGTAGCTTCAATATAAAGAATACTTTTATTGAAAATAGTTTACATTTAATTTGATTTAAATTTAGGGTTTTTCTTGCTTTAAGTAGGTAAAATTTGTTTTAAATAAATTCATTTTTGCTTCAAATATAATAAATGATTGAAGCTAATTGCACTAATGTCGTTTTAATCAGTATTTAAACTTGATATGTGAAATAAGATAGGTATTTACAAAAAAACAAAACATCTAGAAATAGATACATATATTTATTTTTAGTAAAAATAACAAATTAAAAAAATAAAACGGTTAGATATTACGCTACCTACCTTGGAATGACAAGGTTCTAAGTGCAGGTGCCCTGTTAAGCGAAAACGCCTTATCTGCAATATTTAGTTTTGTATTATACAATTTGTATACAATAGATATCTATAGATAAAAATAATAATAATCTATAGATCATTTTAATTTAACAGTGACGCTGCACTTAGAACCTTGTCATTCCAAGGTTCTATGCTCCACACCTCAATGTCCCACTACGTGACTACGTACGGAACGCAGTCTTTGATCATCTGTCAAAAGCATAACATTGTCCAAGTCAATTTCATTTTCTAAAAATAAACATAGGTGTACCTTATTTTACAATAATTAAATTATCCTAAATAATATTTCCGAGAATTACCCCTTTTTTTATTCAATATTTGCGCCATATCTCAATAACGGTTCATTGTAGAGAAATTTACCTAAGACCAAATTTGTAGGAAATTAAATGACGAAAAACTTTTCTAAAAACCAATTTGTCAAAAAGTTGACCGTTTTCGAGATATTGGTGAAGGGGTGGTCGAACTTTGACTCTCCGTAACGGCCCACACAATCGCCGAATCGATGGGAAACTTTCACCAATTATTTATAGTCATAACAACAACGTGTATGCAAAAATTCACCATTGGGCGGGCACATTAAATTGGTCAATGTCCATTTTTTCGACCAATAGCGCTTCCCGCCCCTTGCGCTCTATCTCAAAAACGGTTCATTTTATGAAAAAAAGTTTCAATATTATCTCCAACTTTTGTAATAGGTATTGACATCATTAAAGCCATAGGAACCGAGATAAACGTGAAAAACGTATTTTTATGACCTTTGACCTGCAATAACTAACGAAGCGACATACCTATAGGTAAAACTATAGTTTTACTGATTTTTGAGACAACGACAAAATAAAGGTGTATACGAGTTTTCAGCCTGGTACCGCTCACTGGGCAGGAAAATACCAACGTGACTGGACTAAATGTGGACCTGGTCCACTGGACCACTATACGCTAAAGAAGTATCGCTAGTATCGCCACCTCGTGGCCATCATCATCGTAACTTAACTTCAGTTTTATTAAGCAACTGTCAAAAGCATATATTTTAAATGAGTGTTTTTTAAAATGAGTGCGGAAAATATCGAGAAAATAAACGTCTATTGATTTGTTGCACAATAAAGTACCGATAACGGGTATAATATGAATTTTATATAATATTATGTTGCCATGAATTCGTAGATATATTATTGTTTAAATGCAGTTGTCGGCGTTATTTTTAGAGGACTCAAATATAAAAATGTTTAAGATTGAGGTTATGTTTTTATAGTTATTGTTTTGTGCGAGGTTTTGTGGTAATTTCTTAAAAACTTCCAAACTTAAATATAAATTATATTAGTAGTACAGTCATCTTAGTCAAAAAAAGGGATCAACCTCGGAATCTAACGGAATAAGCTGAATTTTTGTGAAAACCTTTATTTTAGCATTACAAATGTTGTCTCAAAAGTCACATATGCCAACGTGTGAGCGGCCTTAGATATTTAAGGTCAAAGGTCGCAAAAATCAGTTTTTTAAGA